GACAGAGATTCCTGACTACGTACAAGGCGACGCCGCCGGCATGCTGGTGCCATGTGCGCAAATACAGATGTCATGCGAAAATAAACCAAACAACGGAAGTGGCATCATGCTTTTCCGGGCCCTAACGAAGCTGTCCCCGCTGAAACCAAAAAGAAAGGAAACCTGCGGGGCTAGACAACATTCATTGCCCTATGATCATGACCGAATTTGGCTTTGAAGTTTCCCCACAAGCCCCTTCTAATTCAAGCTCTGATAGCACCATCTTAGTACTCAACAGGTAGTCCTTCGGGCAAATTGCAATTTCCCACACTCGCTTCCACGGGCGACGCGAGAACAGGTTCCACAATGAAACATGCGGATCCTCAAAACCCTTTGACCCAAGCTCTCGGTACGCAGAATACGTCAGGAGTAGCTGTATGTCCATGGAAACTCTTGCTTGCCCATGTATCCTGGGTGTGTCTTTTGGGAAACCAACTTTTGGCATAAGGAAACTTAAAGGAGACAGTAACAATGTCGAGTGACCTAGCTAGTTTATTTCGACCTCTGATTCAAGTCTGTTTCGCGTCGCCGCCTGGGCTGAAGAGGTTGTTCTCCGGATCATTGAGATCCTCAGTGCCCAGGATCTGATGGCTGGGGGAACAAGGATCTGCGCTGAGCGTCTCTCATGGGAACAAAAACAAAATGAGCTTGCTTTTGGGGTCCCCAACAAGGGTCCGCCATTCTGATTTGAAACTGTGCCACTGTGGTCGGGGGGGACAAGGTCTAAGGGGACAAGTTCGGTCTTTGACACCCAAAAAGTAATTCACTTGTTCCAGTTGATGGGAGCCCTGAGATTTGCAAGCAAAAGTCAAAAGGCCATTTCGATCACAAGGAGTCACCATAGGGTTCTCCCTGAATGCGGATGTTATGATTGAGCCAAATGGGTTGAACTTATCCGATCTACTTGCACCCATCAAAAACCGTGCTACCAATTTCTACAGGAAATGTTTGTCCCTAGGCCAATCTCTCTCGCACCAGGAAGAAGCAGCATGTGCGAAAACTCTTAAGCAAATGGAGGTTGACCAACAACAAGGGTCTTGCTGGGATGTCCAACCACGATTTTTTTTCCACCAGCCACCCCATTTGCGGATGGAGGATCCAGGCTGCGGATGGTGAAGGAATTCCCCACCGCCGCCACGTGGTCGCTCGGGAGGCGCTGGGCCGCCCAGATGGCGCTGGCGTTGTGCTTGCCCGTCAGCACGTTGAAGACCCACCTGGGTGTGAGAACAAGAGGAGACCCTCAAAAAAAGGAGAAGGATACCCTCCATTGCAAATCATGGAGTAGAAGAGGATGACTAGTTATAACTTTGGTATGGGGGTTGATCAAAAGGTCCGGTAAACATGGGATGACCATTGTGGGAAACCACGACACATATGAATTTCTCCCCACTAAAAGGCAAGAAGTTGCCCATGGTCCTTTGGGGGCCACGAAAAAAATATCACCCCCCATGTCCTTAAGCGAAGCCAGAAGGACGCCGCTCATTTTGGGGGTTCCAGCATTTTGAGACAAACCACAAATGGCTGCTGGTTAGGGGAAATGAAGGAACTCCAAAAACGGTTTCTAAGGGCACACGGCCAAAGTACCTGAGCAGCGCCCATCTCACCCATTGACTGTGTGTTCCAGCAGAGTTGAAGGTTTACCTAGCCCTTAGTATAACTCAAATGCAGCCAAATAGTAGAACCAACTACCACCTAAACCGGCTCACCTGGGTACATTTGTTTTACATCCTACTGAAATTCGCTTATGTAGGATGCTGTGCAGACAATGTGAAAGTCGGGGAAGTCAAAAGAGATGGATATGAACTTGGGTTGAACACTTTAGTGGATATCACTCACACGGGGAATTAAGTCCACCAACCTCCAAGATCGCTTTGAGAGCGCTTCTATTGAATCTCGCAACCACTCTTGCCTAGGTCCTGCAGTAGAGAGGTTCGAATAAGGGTACCCTTTTTTCTGTAGTCTACTTTAGTAGGGAAACCCGCCCCAACAAAAGGGTAAAAGGGCACGATCCTGGGGGACCTAGTTGCTTTATCCAAGGACGAAGCCTTGCTTTGTCTACATGTCGTTGGGTCTCTGTCTCCCTGCATTTCCTCGCCGGCGCAAAAAACTCTTCCAGCTTTGCGAGCGCGAAAGAGTTCCTACATGAGTGTGTCTTTTTTGAGGGTACCCCCTTTTGGGGGGGTTTAAGGGGAAACCAAAAGTGGGACACCACCATCTTGAGGGCAAGACACTTTCATGTTGGTCTTTTGGAAGAGTCTCACGGCATGAGACGGTGCGTGGGGAGAGACATGAGTAGAAAGTATTCGAGCGAAAGGCTTTGATGGGGGTGGGAGTAAGTCATATTGGGCATATTTTGTTGAGTCTTTTCGGGGTCTTTCTCAAAATAAGGGACCGGGGTGGAACATTTTAAGAAACAAACTCCCTCCACTCCTCCCAACAAAATAGGACACACCCACATCTTCCCAAAATACTGGCACCAACAGGTTCCCTGGGAAAGAACCTGTTCACCTGCAAAATGGGGGGTTGCTCCTTGGTTTCAACAAAAATGACTTGAAATCGCAATTTTCCCTACTGGGTCTTTGATTTTGTAAAAAATGGCGCGATTTCCCTTCCAGCATCCATTCTTGCCCGCTCTAGAGCACTCCGGAACGTTGCTCAAGCATCGAGAAACCCCAAAGCCCTCCAGGCAAACAAATCCTTGTCCTCCCACAAATATGGGGTTGTCCGAAAATGACAACCGAAATGGGTGGGTTCCCTTTGCTTTCCCTTTACCATCCATAAAGGGATACCCTAAAAAGAGGAACCACACCCACATCACACCTACCTGCGAGGGTATGTGGAAGAACACTTTCCTCAAAAAGGTCCTGTGTCAGGCTGCCATGGAGGGAGGGAGAGGGGGAGGGAGGGATGGAGGGTGGGAAGGAGGGTTGGAGAGGGGGAGGAGGTGTGGATTTCCGTTTCACTAGTTGATCATAGTGGGTTCCTTTGAAACGATCGCCACTTTGGAGGTGCCAAGGAAGAAAATGGGGGTGAGTATTTGTGGGGGGGGCCCCTCGAAATGGCGGTTTTCCGAGGCGCATATCTCCGGGCTCAGCATCCACCACCACCAGCGCCTCGGAGCTGCCACCGTACCTCGGACCGGAGAGAACGCAAAGCAAAAAAAACGGGGCAGCAGAGAAGCTAATATATATATATATATATATATATATTTATGTATAGATATACTATATATGTATATTCATGATATTTATTCATGATATGCATCTATTCAGTTCGTTCGTTCGTTCGTTGGCTAACTAGCTAGCTAGCTAGCTAGCTAGCTAGCTAGTTAGTTCCTTCTTTTATCCCCAGATAGCTGAAAGCTACAGCGGGTCAAACTTCTAACAAAGAAAGGAAACTGCTTTGCGAGCTTGACATCTGGGTGCTACGAAGCATGCAGTGCGGGGGCGTTGATTGCACGCACTGCTTTTGGGGTGTTGGTGACGGCGCGGGCGCATTTTGCGAGATTGATGACTGGGCGCTAGGAGGCATGCAGTTTGGAGCGCAGGCGCTGTTTTGGGGGTGCTGCTTGGGGTGCTGTTTGAGGTGTTTCCCCGGATAGCTGAAAGCCAAAACAAGGAAAAGTGCTTTGCAAGCTTGACGGCTGGGCGCTAGAGTGCTTTGGGGTTCTGGAGCAGGTGCTGCTGGGCTGCTGCTTTGGCGCTGGGCAAGTGCGGCATGGCATGTTTATTGATGGCCGGGTGGTGCTAGGCGTTGGAGGTGCTGGTGACGGTGTGGCCGCATTTTTGTAAGATTGTTGGGGCGCTACAGGGGTGCTGGTGCAGGTGCTGTTGGAGGGCGCATTTTTGCGAGATTCACTGAATGCTTGGGGGCATGCAGTTTAGGGTGCTGCAGATGCTGTTTTGGGCGCTGGCGCCAGTGCTGTTGGAGGCGCTGACAACCTCACCTTGGGCGACCTCGGGGCCCGAGGCCCGCCCGCCTTGGCTTGACGGGGCGTGAGGACAAGGGAGCAATCCTCGACCTGCGTTATTCGGGGGCCCTACGCTGCTGCAATTTTGTCGTGAGAGCGGGCGCATTTTGTTTTTGCGAAGATTGATGGCAGGGCGCTAGGGGGCATGCAGTTTGGAGTGCTGGCACAGGTGCTGGCACAGGGTCTGGTGTGTCCAGGTAGGTTTGCTCAATGTGCCGGGCAGGGCCGCTAAAAGAACTCTCGCAACCAAGTGCTCCAGTAGTTTGCCTGCAGAGAGAATGTTGTAACATTGGCGCGGAGCCTGCGTCAGCCGGCATCGGCCTGCGTCGGCCTTCATGGCGGGTTGGGCCCGCCATCCACTCGCTCGGCCCACACGACGCGTCGCCCTGAAGCTTATTTTATTTTTCTTCTTCTTCACGTTGGTTTTGGTTGGACTCCCCCTCCGCCCCTCATAAAGCCGTGAGAGCTGTCTGCGTCTCTCACAGCTCTGGAGATCAGGATAAGCTGGTGCGAAAACTTCGAGGGCACCTGAGTGCGGCAAAACTTCGAGGGCGCCTGAGTGCGGCATATGCCGCGCTTGCTCGCGGCCAGCCCTGCTTACAAGGCCATCTCAGAAGCTTCATGTCCCGGAAACAGAAGTCAGTAAGCGTATAGGAAGGCCATCAAGTTGCCAACGCGTGTCCCCGTTCAGCAGCCGATTCTTTCGACTTTCTGCCCTAAATGGCAGATGTGTGTGTGTGTGGAATTTGTACACCTCTTCCAAAGGGCGGATGCACCACCACGCCACCATGACCGAACCTCGACAGATACATCAAACGGCGGCTGCTTCCGGCAACACCTCGCCGAAGAAATATACCCATGAAAGAAACAAGGGAAGCCTGGATTCGCGCACCCCGCATGCATCCGCCACCTTTCTTGCCCAGCGCTTCGGATCATTTGACAAACGCTTCGCCAAAACAAAGTACTTGGTTTGGAGACAGTTCAGCGCAGGTCTTTGTCTGCGAGCTTTCTTTGCCGGAGGCACGCTGTCTCGCTCCTGCTCCGCCTTCGCCGCCAAGCAAAAAAGAAGGGCATCGAAGCCAGCGTGCTCTTCGTCAGGTAGGTCTTCCATGGCAATGTCGCTAGCGGGATCTGCTACCTCATCTTCAACAGCTACGCTGTTTGCGGCCTATAGCTCCGCCTCTCATCAGATGGCTTCGCCAACGCGAGATGATAGCACCTGACAAAAGCGCTCGGCGAATTCTGGGAAGAGCCCGGCGTTGGAACCCGGCGCGCCGGAAGGCCCCTGCAACAGCACCCTGCGCAACTCTGCATCTCGGCCTGCAGCAGCATCTCGGCCTGCAGCAGCGCCCTGCAGTAGCACCCTCTGGCCTGCAGCGTCACCTGAGACTTCGTGTAAAGCGACCCCCTCCGCTGCGTGGTGAATCACTGTGGCTTCATACCCACAACATCATGACCAATGGCCCACCGGCAGCGCATGCATATGGCCACGGGCTGATGCATAGTCCGGGCAGGTATCTTACCTGCGACTGTACGCGTGTGGTTGCCGGAGGCGACCCCTTGGCTCCCTTGCAGTACGGTAATCATGGCTGTGGCTCAAACATACGTAGATGTATGCACACGACCCATCACCTGCGTGAAACTACTGCCTTTATCGTGCATGGAAAATCAGACAAACAATGCATACATATATATTAGCTAAATTTAAGAACTCGTAAACGTACAATTCTCAAACACGCGCGAGGTGGGGCGTACGGGGTGTTTTTGAAGCAACGAGCGCGTGGACGGACGAGTGGACGAGTAGACGGACGAGTGCACGGACGAGTGGACGGACGAGTGGGCGGATGGACGGACGGACGGACGGACGGACGGACGGACGGACGGACGGACGGACGGACGGACGGACGGACGGACGGACGCACACACGCGCACGCGCGCGCGCACGCACGCACGCGCGCACGCACGCACGCGCGCACGCACGCACGCGCGCACGCACCCGTACAGAAATAAGGGCAGAAATAAGACCATTTTCTGGTCTTAAAAAGGTCTTATTTCTGTACGTGCGGGTCCGTACAGAAATAAGACCTTTTTTAAGACCATAAATGGTCTCATTTCTGCCCTTATTTCTGTACGGACGGGTGCGTGCGTGCGTGCGTGCGTGCGCGCGCGCGCGCGTCCGTGCGTGCGTCCGTCCGTCCGTCCGTCCAACCGCGCACTCGTCCGTCCACTCGTCCGTCTACTCGCGCGTGCGCTCGCACAGGAAAATGGCGTTAACGACCTCTCGAATACAGCTAACATATATACATTGATTGTTTTTGAGCCACATCCACATGTGGAAATAGTAGACCGATTCCGGCTGTAAAGGAGCATCGATGCTAGCTGGAAGGTCTAGTGACTCTTCGGCTTTGGAGATCGTCTAAATATTCACTGGGCGCGTGCCGAGGCCTCCGGCCCATCGTGGATCTCCACCGAGCACTCCCCCCCCGAGGGAACTTCCGTCTCCTCGCCGCCCTCCCAGGACGAGCTGGCCAGGGAAGAGCCCATCAAGGTCAGACGACTGCAAGGCTCAGCCCTGCGCACAGAAGCATTTTGCAAGAGAACCCTGCAGCACCCGGCCTCGGCAGCAGCTCTGAGTCAGTCTCGGCGCCCTGCGCAACTCTGAGTCTCGGCCAGCAGCAAACCCTGCAACAGCACCCTGCAGCAGGACCCCTGCGCAACTCTGAGTCTCGGCCTGTAACAGCACACTGTAGCAGCACCCTGCAACAGCACCTGGCCGGAATTCTGAGTCTCGCCCACCCCTGCTTTACTTGAAGTTAGATTTCCTATAGCTTTCAGCTATCTGGGGAACAATTACAAACAACATGTTATCCTTTGTGCTGTCTTTGGTGGGTTTCTTTCTGTTAATCTTGTTTGGGGCTGCTCCTATTGGTTTCCACTTTGGGCTTCTTCGGGTTCACTTTGGGGTTCTTGGGCTTCCCTTGGCTTTCATCGTGCTGTTGGTCTCCCTGAAAAGAAGGCACTCGCATCAAGAGAAGACATCGTCTACGACATCTTCTAGGTGGTTGGGGCATGCAGCGTCACACTTCCTGTACTGGGCTGTCCGATTCAGATCCCCTGCTAAAAGCGACTAACTTTTTGTGGGTTAAATGGAACCCCCTAAAAAGCTAAAAAGCTAAGGGGATGGCTGAGCCACCAAGTAGGTTTGTTTGAACATCAACACGCGAAGCACATGTTGGATGCAGAGGACTTCCCAGCTGCTTGGCAAGCAAGGATTTGCAGTTCCTCCTAAAAACACACACGCCGGAGCCAACCACAATGTAGAATAACGGAGGAGGGCAGCCTGCGGACCGGAAAATGCAACATTTTGAGCCGCTGCATTCAGTAGCCCAGCTTGATCTGGAGGCTGCCCAAGTGGGCCTTCACACTCGCATCAAAGGACGGCTGTGCTTGAAGAGCTGCTGCCATGCACTCATCAGAGTTGGTGTGGTCTGCTGCTTCTGCGCTGACCTGTCTGTTGAGATCTTCGGCCTTGGCAGCCTCCGCAATCTTCTCGTGCTCTTTACGCGAGATGAGGCCTCCAAAGAGGTGCTCGAACATGCCGTTGACCTGCTGGTCAAAACTCGCCGATGACTCTGTGAGCTTTTCAAACCGGATATGGTGCAAGCCCTTGTTCGCGAAGTTCTTCGCCATGTCGCCCATGACTTCGGACATCATTGGCCAGAGTAGCATCATGCCCTCAAGGGCCCCCACGCCCCTAGGCAAGATTTGCGGGTTGTAGCTGATACGATGCGAGGGCTTCTGTCCTTGATGATGATAGCAGTATGCAGAGGCAAGCATGTCCGAAGGGTTACGCACGATGTGCACACCACGGACGGAGCCATTGCCCCTTGCCATTGCCATCTCCACGCTCTCCTCTGTTGGATCTTTGTCATACATGATGTGGCAGTCAGGGACATCCTCGCAGTAGTGCTCGCCGCCCTCCGAGGTAATGGCGTCTGCGTCACTCATCCACCGGGCCATGCGACAGCTGTACTTTGCACCGAGTGTGTCAAATGCACGGCGCATGATGTTCTGCAACAGATCCGATCCTGACCTCAGTTGTTCAGTGACCCTGGAAAAAAAGGGAACCCTTTTTGGGGAAGACCATTTTTAGTTTTTGGCAGCCACCCAAAAAAAGGGGAAAAAGAATCGGTGCCACTGAACAACTGAGTGACTTGTGATATGCGCCAACCCAATAGACCTGGGACCTATCCCAGGGTGACATGGCAATCCCTGACTGCATCTGCACGAAGGATAGTACCCCATTCTCATTGGTGGCCATAGATGACACCCCTGCCAGCAGACACTGTGAAAGCGGCAGCGGCATTGCTGCTGAAGGCAAAAGAAACAGAGGTTTTGGATACCTCTGCACCTTGGGCAGGAAGGCTATGAGAAAGGCGCGTCACCGTCAAGCTCGCTGGCTGTCAGAAGGACTTGCGCTTGGCAAACTTTGGATGTTAACTCTGAAACATCCTGATGAAGCCTCTGAAAAAATGGAACTCATGCCAAGTTGCTCAGCGCAACACCGCACATAGCATAACCGGCGTTGATCGAACAAGACAAAAGAGGAGTCATGAGTTGAACGTTAAACTGCTTGCACCGATCCCTGTCCCTGTAAAAGGGTTTACGACCACAGCCGCAAGTCATTGATCCATTTCTCTGAATGACCAACCATTTTGGGGATCCCGCGATTTTAAGACACACACACACAGAGTCATACTGTGGACGGACGAAATCCGTTCGCACCACTTTGAAACCACTTTCTGAAACCATACCCTTTGTATTCACAGCGGAATCGAATCGGAAACCGTTGGGCTTCTCAGCTGCGAAACGGACCAAGGGTCCACCCACTCTTGTCACACAGTTCACAGTCGAATCTCCTCAGGTTGAACTCCTGCAGTAGAGAGGTTAGAATATTTTGTGTGTTGCCCATAAGGTGTACAGAGACAACCCATGCACTGGATCAGGAAGAATGCATTCAGTCAAAGCAGCTTATGACTGCTGCTCAGCGAAATAAACATTGGCCATGAAAAGACCACACAGCAGTGTGAGCAATGTGCTGAGCGCACCGATCCCGGCAACAGACCATGGCGAGCTTAAATCTGAGCCTTTGGCTTTCATTTTGCACTTCAAACTGCTGCCCAGGTAAGCTTCCTCTCGGCTCGCCTGAACACCAGGGTGGAGAAACGCACTTGGCCAAGCCGAGTTGCACCGGAAACGCCGCTTGGTTCAACAAAACGGCCGGGGCGACCCATAGCAACCGGCCCCTAGGTGGCACTCGCTGGGTCAAGTTTTGATCCTTCCTTACACAAACGCCCCAAATGGATCTGCGCAGTCCATGTTCCCAGGTGGCCTTTTGTTGGAGCGCATGAAGAAGCAAAGGGTTTTTCTTTTTCTGGGGACGCCCTGAAAACGGGGACCTGGTGCGCAATGAGTCAGGATAGACCCACCCCTTTTTGGACTAGAACAGCCCCCCGTCCCAAGGCTCGTGCCGGTCCAAGGGGCGCGGGCGCGTCCGGTGACCCGGAGTCCGCGCTGAAGAAGCCTTCCTGCGCGCGAAGATCGCTAGTGGGGAGAAAGCGGGACTAGAGTCCTTGGGGACAAAATCCACTTTGGATGAAACCCGGGAGCAATTCGACGTGAACAAAGTCTTAACTGGTGAAGGTTTTTGTGCATCTGCAGTATAACGGCCCAAACAATTAGAATGGGCGGTACAATGAAACCAGATCAAGCGATGATGATGGGGCCGAATCGTTCGTAATTGTTTTGCCCCTCATATGTTTTGCGGGTGTCTCAACAGTTAGCATATAAGCTAAGTAAATATGCGGTGGTCGAAAAGTTTCGTTCATCTGGTTATCGCAAGATCCTCACTGAGGCCCCCCAAGCCAACACCAAATGGCTGCAATGGTGGTTTTCCTTTTGGTTCCCTTTAAAATAGCAAAAAAGGTACCCTCCAAAAAGACACAGGGAACTGCCGACTCACAGGCTTCAAAAGACCAAGTCCAGGTGGTTGTGAGGCATGGCTGAAGCCCATGGGAATTAGGGTGTTGGCGCGCAAGGAACCACCCAGCTCAGCCGGGTCTTTCTTTTTTTGAGGCTACCCCTTTTCGGTGGGTTAGGGAGGCCGAAAGGAAAAGCCTTACGCCAGTTTGGGGTCCGAGCCGCCCATGTGGCTTCGCGTAACCCAGCAGCTTCCCCCAGTCGACTTCGGTTTGGAGTTACCTTTTTTGTGTAGGTGTGGAGCCCAGAGCAAGTTGTTGAAGGGTCAAGCTTCTCGTTTTGTGGTTTTAAAGGACAACCAAGGTGTAAACCACTGATTTATTGAATTCTGTATTTATTTATTCATTTATTTATTCATTTGTTTATTCATTTATTCATTTATTCATTTATTTATTTATTTATTTAGTTGTTTATTCAATTTATTTATCAATTATGATTTATTTGATTTTTGGGGGAAGGGGGTTCCCAGCTTGACCCGTTGTTCCGCCTGCACGGCGATGTCCCCCATCAGCTGCACCGCACAGCGCGCGGTCTTGCAGCGCTCCATGGCCAGCTTCGTGAGGTCTTCGATGCCTCGCTCGCGCGCCGCGGAGCTCTTCGCGGGGCCCTTTCGCAGCTCGCCGCGGCGCGTGTTTTCGCCGCGCGGAAAGCTTCGGGGAGAAACGCGCCGGTGGATGTACGAGGAAAAAACAGAGCAAAAACAACAAAACCAGCCAGCCAGCCAGCCAGCCAAGCAAGCAAGCAACCAAGCAAGCAAGCAACCAAGCAAACAAACAGACAAACAAAACAAACTGAAGCAAAGTGGTCCGAATCTCGAATTGGAGGGATATGAGAGGTTCTGTTTGGGTCTACACATCCCTGGCCAACAGTTCACAACCATTTGGAGAAAGCGACACGTCGAGATGAAATGAAGGCACCCAAAGCTAGTCCTCTGCTTGATCCTGCCCTTGACCCTGCTGGATTTTGGGACTTCGAAAAGTTAGGCACTGAAAAACTGCGCTGGTGTCTTAAAATCGGAAGCAGAACCCCTAAATTGGCCCCCAGACCCCTAAGTTGGCCCCAGTTTCCTTTGTCGTCCCTTTTTTCACCACTCCAAAACGGGCGGCCTCAAGCAAAAGAAACGCTCACCGGACATCGCGTGACTCTAGGATCCCCAGCAATGCTCGACGGACTGGAGCAAGGCGAACGAAGCAGAATGTAAAGAATAGACCTATCTGGGCAAATGGCGATTCATTCACCTCGCCAGCTTGGACCTGGAAATCAAAGGTGATCACCTTTTGGACATGGGAAAACCAAAAGGTCGAAGGTTAGCCTTGGGCAAGTGAGTAACTGAAAATAGGGAACTACCGATCAAGGGGCCTTCATGAGCAAGCTGCGCTTACCCCAAGAGCTTGCTATCTATGAAAATGATACACACAAGGCCGGCCGGCATAGCATGCCATCTGCTGGACCGTGCTTTGCTCTTGACATGCGAGTTCTTACTCTGCCCTTGACATACAGAAAGGGCTCCCCTCGAAAACTGTTCTCAAGTCCTGAGTTTCTTTGCTCCGAAGTCTGCAAGGGTAGATTGGCGGAAAGGGAACACGAAGGGGAGCCCAGAATGGCTTTGTCGTCTGGGTGTGCTGTGCTCTTTCTCTGGTTGGTTTAAGGGAAACCATAAGAAAAAAACACATTTCGAAAGGGACATCTTTTTTTGGGTTGTCCCCTGAAAAAACAAGAGGACACGTCGTTGTCTGCTCGGCGCAGGAGAGCTCTCCGCTCTTCAGGCCGCCCCCCCCCCCAGCCCCTCGACACATCCGGCGAGGGACCCACGCGGCAGTGGCCCCACGGCTTGGTGGTGGCCCAGCCCACCGTCATCCCCGTGCCAGTGGACTCGCCGATGGAGAGGCCCCACTCGTTCTGCATGCCGTACCTAAAAAAGAAATGAAACGCAGAAACAAACCTACCAAAAAAAAACACGAAATACTCAAAACCAAAACAAAACAACAAATAAACGACACACTCAACACCTTTCCAAACATGATTCGACGCCCAAATGGAATTACCCTGGCCACATATACCGGAAAAAAAAGAGAAGAAACACTCAACACCTGTCCAAACATGATTCGACGCCCACAAATTGAATTACCCTCCTGTCCACATGCAACCTGACGCTTCGGGGTCCTGATTTGGACCATGTTCGTGAAAAAAGCACCCTCTGGCGGGTTCACGGGAATGAACATGTGAGTTCCTGTTGGCTCCATTTAAGCCACACGACTTCGGCTGCTGGAACCCCATCTTTCTCATGGACTTTGGTTTGAGTGTGTGTCTCAAAATCGGGGAACCCCAGGGCCATGCCCCTCTTTTCGGTCTCCCTAACAAACACCAGCCATAAGGAGGGTACCCTTGTACAGAAAGAACAATCGAAAATTATGGGTATGGAAGAGTATGAGCAGTTACACTTTCCCGCTAGTACCTTGCATCTGTGGACTGAGCTCGATGCAAAGCGTATCGAGCGGCTCAGTGTCCCAATATCCCCAGGTCTCCTCCACTTGGTCAAGTTCGCCAATCGCAGGGAACACCTCAGCACAAACCGCACGCCATCCTGCCTGAGTTCAATTCTGCCTGGGCCCATCACCCCAAGCCATGGACCGGAAAAGGACCGACCCCCCCAGTAAAGGACCTTCATCACGGATAAGCTCGTTTTCCCCACAGCTCGTTGTCGATCAGTTCCTGCGCAATCCAGATGGATAATTGTGGCCTGCTCTTCCTGCGATTATCATTTTCCACATAGAATGAAATGACCTGTTCAAAAACTGCTTGATACAGGTGTCCAGCTATCAAAACAAAGCTGCTCAAGATTGAAGCTGGCAAAAGTGGCATCGACTACTGCCAGTGAGTGTTCACAAGACCTTTTTGGTGTGCACGATCATCCCAAAGAGATTTCATCATTCAAAATACTTTGTGATGGCTGCACAATTGTCTTGGCTCCAAGCGGGACATAATATATATATATATACATATATAACCATGGCTCATGACATATAACAACACTGTGTATATATATATATAGGTACCTGGTTGGCTGTTCGCAGGCGGCTCTTTTGTCACGAGGCAGGGACAATACTCTTTGCTCAAGAGCGCACTGCATGGACAAAAGTTAGGCGGGCGCCTGGTTCACCTGGGAATTTGGGTGACCTCCTCTGTGTCATCACCCAGCAAACTACATCAGCCTTCCACCCAGCAAACTGCCAATCATTTTGTCGGCTGCATCCCCAGATGGCAACATCCGGACGCCGCCGTGTTCTAGCTTTTACAGGTACAAAGCGCGGCCGGCATTACGAGCATGAACCTGGAAGGGACAAAAGGACGGTTGCAAATTGCGCCTGTTGGCCTCGGGGGTTGGACTGCGTGTCACGCATCTATTTTACTCAAAGGGCACGGGAGCCTTCTTTCAGGCTCCAAGTGATTCTTGGGTGCGGAAGCAAGCCCAACCTGCTTGGACCTAAGGAAACCCCAACACAGGGTTGTCTCAAAGTAGGTGCCCTTTTTTTTGGCTTCCCTTTTAACCCAAACCCAAAACGGGTACCCTGAAAAAAGAAAGAAAAAGAACCCGACCTCCCCAGCACTTGGGATGCCCCCCCCCCACCTCCGCCCCCCCCAACCCCTCGCCCCCCCCGAAACTCCCCAAACCCCCCACCCGCCTCCTGACCTTTGGTTGGCGCATACTCTGGCGCTAGATCCTCCGCCGCCATCCGAGGGTAGGGGATGTGCCACTCCTCGGGCCACTTGCTGGGCGAGAGCAGTGGATGGTTGCGACATCCATTTCGCACCCAGTTGAACCACGCCAAACCATTACTTGACGGTATTTACAGGGGAATCGAATCATTCCAGGGGTTCTGAACGGTGGTGCGAAATGGATGTCGCAACCATCCACAGTGGGACCGAACCAAACAAGGGGAGTCCTGCCATCTACTGTCACTCAAACGAAACGTTGAAAGAGAGGGTTCATGCCTACCCCGGATTTATCGACTCAGTAGATGATTAGTTTCACCCCCCCCCCCCGCCACACCGAAAAAGAAGAAGAACAAATCCGGAGTTTCTCTTGAATGGGCGACACACCGTCCGTTTCGCTCACTCATGTGACTCGGGGTCTAAAGATTCGGGGTGGAAAGCCGCACCTATTTATGGTTGGGACTGTCCTCTACCCTTTATCTACCCCTGTTGATACGCTTCCAAAACTGGGCTGTCCTCAGATCCCCCGCTAAAAGTTTAACTTTTGGTGGGTCAAATGGAAACCCCCACTAAAGGCTAAAAGGCTAAAAAGAAGCTAAGTTGAACCGGATGGCCGGTTGAGCCATCCGTTTCAGCAAAGTCTGGCAACGAGGTTTCCGGTTTCGGGCCCGATCCGAGCGTCGTAGAGCTTCCTCTTGGATCCCTTGGGCCACTTCCGGCGCGGAACGCGCACCAGCCGCACGTCCGTGGTGCTGGGGCCGCTGTCGTCGCTGTGGGACACCTGAAGCGCATAGGTGTCCTAGGGGAAATAGATGGCCCTGGTAGATGAAACCCCCAGGTAAATCAGGAATCGCCATCTATTTTTCGAGCAAAACAACCAAAAAGGACACCTAGGCTGAAGCGGTACCTTCCATTTCCATTCTTTGCAGGGATCCGAATCTTTTCAGGAAACCAGCCAAAAACCCAGGGGAAACAGCCGGGTTTTGAAAACAACGATACCTAAAAAGAATGGACAAGGAATCAACCCCTAGTGCTACCTCAGCTTTCGCCGGCCAAAGTCTTGTGCCTGATTCTGAAGTTCTGGGCCAGAGCGACCTGAAAAATCAAAAGAGATCCCTGTGAGTAGGTGTCCCCTTGGCTTTTGGTGCTTCTCCCAGACTCCCCTGGTATCCAAGCGCCCAAAAAAAAAATCGGGCGGGTTCAGAACCCACCGCAACGGAAGCCAAAGGTTGGAAGGGATGGGAATGAGAAAGCCAAGGCCCTGCTTTCTTCACATGGCTCCAAGGTCAGGAAAGGCAAAAAGGGCATGGTCAGTGACTGGGCCAACGAGAAATAGTGCAAGGCAAATGATTCAAATTGCACCAAGTCAAGCATCTTCCCAACTTCGTGTAAGACCCCTGGGAAAAAAAAATGTCCAGTAGTGATAAGTTCCTTTTACATTCAACAAGGGAGAAACAAAAACATACTCTTAAGCAAATGGAAGACGTTGTTCTCTTGGACCGTCGCTTCGATCTCTGCATTTGCAGACCCCACGCTTTGGCATTCAACCAGTGCGAGTTGGCGCCGAATTCGGATGTTCCGACTTTGGCCCCGTAGCTTCCTGAACATAGGTGTCCTAGAACAAAAATAGAATTGCCTGGTAGATGATTAAACCACCAGGTAAACCAGGAATCGCCATCTATTTTTCGAGCAAAACAACCAAAAAGGACACCTATGTTCCTGACAGCTCTGCTCGGTGCTTCGGAAAGCCAAAACCGCGCGACAGAACTGCGAAGGCTCCATGTGGAATGTGGTATGGTTGGACCCGGGCCTGTCTGTTTGTGAGAGTGCCCTGCTCTTTGTCTTACTTGCCCAAAGGACCTGGAATTAAAAGGTTAACATTTTGGGACCTCAACTAAAAACGGCTTTGAACAACTGAGTTGTTTGAGGGAAACCAAAAGGACCACCACCAGCTTGGGGTCCCCTTAAAAAAAGAGAGACCCCTTGGTCTCTCCAAGGCGCGATTGGGTAGCCGGTGGCACTGGCATCTTTCCTGTCTCGAGGGCCGAAGCTCAGGCAAAGCTATGACCCACTGGGAAATCGACAATAAGGGTATGCCCAAATGAGGGACCCCAAATGGTGGTTGTCCCTTTGTTTTCCCTTTAAGCTGTTCTTCAAAAATGATACCCTGAACGAAAACACGCACCAATATCATTTCCCAAAGCCTAGGCTTTGTTGGGGGAGAATGCACCAGCATAGCGCCCTGTGGGTTGATCCGTTGGACTACGCACACATGTGCGAGCACTGGCTCAGCTAGATAGCCAATTCGTTATTTCATCAGCTAGTGAGAAAGCTAAATGATCAGACAGTTAGTCTGCTAGTCAGCTGGATAGCTCGCAAGATAGTTAGCCAGCAAGCCAACTAGCGAGCTAACCAGATAGCTGGTCAACTCGTTAGTTGGCTCAGCCAGCATTCACCTAGCCAGGTTAGCAAGCAACACTAGCTAGTTAGCTGATGACTTCGCAAGGCTGCTTAGCTAGCTAGTAAGTTAGGTGGCCGCAAAGTCAGCAAGTGAGCTAGAGTTCGCCAGCAAGGAAGACAAAGCGGGCTAGTAACTTAGCTACTGCATGGGAACCAATAAACCCATCTTACTAATGGGGGGGGTCCCCCTAGTAGACCCCTATTGATCCACCAGGGAGAATCCGGGATCACACTTGCCAGTTAGCCAAAAAGACAGCTGTTGACCCCTCTGCAAAAGTGTTCAACGGTTTCCGTTAAAAAGCGAATAGCCATAGAGACTATATTGTAGCGGACCCCCCCAAAGAAAGATGAACATAAATAAATAAAATGGTGGGTTGTCCTTTTTGTTTCCCTTTAAAACTACCCAAACGGGATACCAACACCAAGAAAGACAGGCCCATGTGTTCCACCGGCACCGGCGAGGTTTTCCTGGCTTCCGATGGAGAGCGCTCTAGTCTAAGCTGAAGTGGGCGTGTCTCAAAATAGGGGCCCATCTCCTAAAATGTCAAGGGTGTCCTTTTGGATTCACTTTCACCATAAGGGATAGTGGTCACTGGTATCTGCATGTGTTACAACGTGTCCAAAACCTGTGAATAAGAATCGTATCCCCAAGTAAAGGATCTTCGCCATGGTGAGCTCGTTTTGCCCCCAGCTAAGCTCGCTATAAATTATGCAAATATATTCCTCGCGGTGTTTTCAACCGTTTCCCATTCTTTCCACACATATTCCTCCATGTCAGCTCAGTACCACAGAATTTCGGATAGAAAAAGGCCACGGGTTTGAACAACTAGCCGTGTAACCCAGTGGCAACAAATCAAACCGTTTCATGTTTATCCACGGGGTGCTCGCATGCCACATGGGTGGATTGCTGCATCTCGCGAGTTGTCTCGCCAATTCACGCAGGTTCAACTTGGTGCTCGGCGAAAGAAAAGCTAGGGGTATATTGCCTTTTTGAGGCTACCCTTTTTGGGGGTTCAGGGAAACCAAGGGAAAACACCCGCCGATGTTTCATTTTTTTCAGAAAACTAAAATCCTTATGTTCAGAAGCCCTGGAGACTTGGGAAGTTTGTTCAGGCTCGTAGCTCAGGAACCTCAAAGCCTCAGCCCCTGTCGGCATCTCTCCACTGATAGCTGACGCAATGACGAGGCTTCGCGAGCGAGCCCTTTGCGGGAAAAAAGTGTACTCGTCCGAGGAAAGGCCCGGACAATCCAAGAGATGGGTATTAAAATGGCCATGGGTCAAAAGCCAAATCGTACCCAAAATGGCACCATTGGTTTTGACCCACAGCCAAATGACCTAAACCAATGGCAAAAGATCTACAAAGGCGGCCGCACGTAGTTTTAATTGGGACTGGGCCTTCTATCTGTTTGGAATAAATCTTCAATATGTTCTAAATATTTGTTACCTGTACGGACTTTAAATTATGGATACTCTTTTAAAGATAACCTTCACGTACCCGGGTTTTGAGTATGGCTCACCGCCACTTCCATTGTCGAGAGGCCCCACAGCAACGATGCTGCAGGCCTGGCGTACCGGGGGTTCGTCGAGGCCCAGCCAACCCCAGGCACAAGAGAATTGCTGGGCTGTCCGTCTTCAGATCCCCTGCTAAAAGCTTAACTTTTAGCGGTGAACATGGAAAACCCCACTAAACACTAAAAACCTCAAAAGCTAAGGAACCGGATGGCTGAGAACCAGCAAGATCATAGGATCCAACACAGGCCTCACTATGTGAAGAATGCCGGGAGCCTTCCGAAAAATGCAGTGATCTTCGCACCCAACCAGGATCATGTAGAAGTCAGCTGCAACCGTCGCGAGGGCGGAAAAAAATGGTCTGCCGTGCAGTCCAATTCCACTTGGGACACCGCGCGGTGGAACAAGCACGGTGCAAAAGCCAGGGCGAATGATTCAAATTGCAAAGGAGCCCCTGACATTGTGGACAGTGCACTGTCTGAAAGCTGTCTGCGAATGTATTTGGGAGATGTTAATGGCAGGTTGCCAGCGGGATGGATTGTGACTGTTGGCAAAAGCACCAGGGTGGAGGGAAGAGCTCTCTCTCTCTGTTTATCCCTCGCTACTCCTCGGAATAAACGCGGTATCATTCTATTCATGTTCAGCGGCGGAGACTTCACGGCGTTTGCATCCTGGGCGCCATTCGATCCACTCCAACGAAACACAGCATGTGCTGATCACTCCCGCCTCTCCGACAGCCAGCAGGGTCGCAGTCAAGAGCGACTTCATGGCCGGCATAGCAAAAATGCGCCTTTCGGCCCTGTTTGGACCTTGAATTCTGACCAAAAAAGCAAGCCCGCAACTGGCCTCCTTCATCAGAAGTCAGTGAAGTATCAACTGACTCTTCAAAGCACCACATTGGTGCTACTGGTACCTTAATCGCGAAACGGTGCATCCTTTACGCCGCCTAAGGATTAGTGCCAAAATGGGAGGATTGCCCAGCTCCACTGGGCAGCTCCCCTCAGCAGCTGATGGGAGTAGAATTGATGCCACTCCCACAGCGAGGGAGGAATCCTCCCACCTCACCGGATGCCCTCCCGGCATCATGGGTGAGGAAGGAAAGTAGCGAAGATCAGCTTGATCAATTCGCTTTCGACTGAGGGGAAGACCCGGTTCTCAGTCGGAAATTGCGGGTCCGGATGAGTAAGTTCATCCGCCCATGTGTTAAAGTCGCGCTTCACATGCGACGGTCCTAACATGACCTGGTGGTCATGCAGTGTTAACACAATTTCCATGAGGATGGCCGCATTGGGCATCCTGCGAGTGGAATCGTTAAGCAGGGAGAAAACGTTTCCCTGGTTATCACTAGCAACCAGAATCCTAGTGTGAGAAGCCGAGCCGGCTGCACAAAGCAGAACAGCCCTCACCAAAAGGAGGAGGCCGAAGAGCTCCAAGGCCGCTATCGCCCGCTGCGGGTCCCCAGTAGTGAAGGCCCACGGCTCGCCCTCCGGTGTGATTCTGTGTTGGAACCACTTCACTCGGGACTTGTCGGGGTTGGGCACGTCCGAGCACCAACCACCAACCCATGCATGGTCCGCCTGTTTGCCAGCTCCCGCATCAGATGCCCCCGTCCATGGAAGTGTGGGAGCAAATGGAGATGCCAGTGGGAACCTCTGGTTGAAGAGCTTCCCCAGAAGGATGGCCAGAGCACGAACCAGCTTCGGTGGCCTGCCCGAAGTGGTGCAGGCCTTCTTCCAGCTCCAAAAGGGCTGGAGGAAAGGTTTCGTCAATGGACACGCCGAAGTAGCCCATTGAATCCGGCCCAGGGCTTGTTCCACCTCCTTGCTGGTAAAGATGTCCCCCTGGGCCAGCCGTTTGAGAGTGGCCAGGATTATGACGTGCTTGACTGGAGCCAGCAGCACACAGGGCGTGATTGGGTCCACCACGAATCCCAACCAGGTATTGACCGGGGAGAGCGCCGTCTTCTTCCAAGAAAGCGGGACTCCCAGCGCCAGAAGAGTGGCCAGGATGGCTGTGGCGTCCCAGTCCGCCCTGCTGCATCTGAGGACCCAGCAGTAGTCGTCCACAAAAACTAAGTGCCAGTCCACCTGAGGGAAGATGTAGTACAAGAGTCTGAGCACCAAGGATGCCTTTCTTCCCCAGTACAGTTGTGCCGAGGCCATGCCGTACGTGCCCACTCTATTGACCCACCACCGGTTCTGGATGCAGGCCACCTGGTATTTCCAGTCTTTCTGGAGCACTTTTATGTGCCTGTGGGCCTTGGTGACATCCGCCTTGAGGATGATGAAGGTTTCCCCCTGTGTCGGCGGCTGCCACGTCAGGGGTTCCCCCCTGCTCCCCCCAGGGCGTTCCGTGCTTGGGGGGGTTGGGGGGAATGGGGCCCTCCTATCAGGGCCCTCGGCACCTGGGAGTGGCCTCTTCCCTGAGATTGTTGACCGCGACGTCCAGGCCGCCGGAGGTCTCCATCATCCGCCTGCCCCTATCAGGGCCCTCGGCACCTGGGGGCAGGCTGGTGCTGTGGGGGTCCCTCTCAGGGCCCTCGGCACCTGGGGACTGCCCCTGCACCGGCTGGTGAACATCCCGAGGTTCCTCATCAGTGCCCGAGGATGGGGCTCGGAGTAGATGAGGATGGTCCGCCGCTGTCCTGAGCCAGTGGATGGCATGGAGGCAGTCTCCAACCATCGGTGCGGTGGTCTTCTCCTCCGTGTGAGCCTGGATGTGTGCGTTTGCTCCCCCTTTTGAGCCATCATAGATCGTCCTGATCTTGTCCGACTCATCAATCCCTGCAAGGGGGCCCGGGCAAAGTTCCTCCGGTTTGCAGCGGCACCTCTCTGCCGCCTCGGAGCGAGTGAAGGGCCCGTCCACCATGTCCAAGGCTCGTTCCTCGTAAAAGGTTGATTCGATTTCCTTGGCAAAGAGTTCAGCCGTTGGGTAGTTATCATGAGCCACTGGCGGGGGGGGATCTTCCCCCAGCCAGGCTTCTCCCTTAAGCTCCTCCTTAGTGGGCCAAACTCCCGGGGAGGTCAAGGTAGGGTCCGAGACTCCCAAGGGGACCCCCTCTTTCAGTGTTAGGGGGAACTCCCAATCAGGGTCACCTGAAAGGGATGCCAAGTGCGACACTAAGTCCAGGAGGAAGGGTTGTCCTGGGCATCGTTCATGGAGGTGCCTCGGTCCTAGGATAGCCCGCAGCTCCTCGAGGTCGGCTTCCTGGAAGGGGTGTGTGGTGGCACCTGATGCCAGGGACATTCGGACCTTGTCAATCCAGGGCCGTCATGATCAGGGCGCCCAAAGTAGCCAATGGGGAAATTCTCCGAAAAGGGGGGTTGAGCCTCCCTGGGGAAGGTTTTCCCCCCCCATCCCTCAGGGGGCGTGAGCGGAAACCCAATTGGACAATCGCCACCCGGTCAGTGAGGTGTGGGACCCTGAAAGCGGGCAGGCATTCGGGGCGGTCCAGGACCTGGTCCCCCTGTCCCTCCTTCCCCAGTTGTTCCGCATCTCCGGCCATCGGGGGCATGGGAGATGGGAAGTCTGGGTTCATTGTTCCACGAGGGCTTACGGTGTCTGCCTCAGGGTGGAACTGCCCGTGCAGGCGGGGCTTCGGGGCGTTCTTGCCTCCGGGCTTTGAGCCCTGGTGTGATGAGGAGGGACCGCCTCCTTGACTGGGCCCCCGTTTTTTTCTGGGGGGAATGGCCTTCCGGGGGGTCCGACCCCCGCCCCTTAGGTGGTTCCTTGGGGTTTCCCGGAAATTGTGAGGGGATCCGGATGTGCCCCGGCGCTGCGAGTGACACAGCGATGGCTTTGGCCAGGCCTGCCATCATATCCCAAGGGTATCTGCTAAGAGTCGAGGACTCGTTGGTGCCCACATGTGACTGATGCGTGCACCGCATTTGATCCCAGTCCTGGATCGGGAGATCCGTGGCCAGCGTAGTGGCCTTCTTGACCAGCTGGCCCAGGCGGCACTGGTCGAAGGAGATTGCTGTCAAGGAGTTCTCCTCCATCCAAAGCTGCCCCTCCTCTGTGATCCAGAAGGATGAGCATTCCTTGGCTTTGGGCAGCGAGCTGCTCACCACTGGGTCCTCCGGGTGTTCCAGGAAGGACCTGGGCCCTGGCAGAGAAACCGCCGCTCGTGAGGCCCTTGCCAGGCTGGTGATGTACATCTGTCTCAGAATGAGGATGCTGTCATCATCAAGTTGAGTCTGGGCGGCCTGGTCCAGGTGTGGAAGGCCCCAAAGTGTCTCTGGAGTGCGCCCTCGCACCGGGGTCTCCCCAGGATGGACCATGTCCTGCAGTTGGGTCCTCCTCCAATGAAGACCACTCGGCCCTGCTTTGCTGCCGTGCAAAGACCTCCATACAGCTCGGGTTGGAGCATATCGTGGTCCCCTTTGGGTCCAGACCGTAGGATGTCTACCGCCACCACCATGCTGGAAAGGTGTGGGTAGTTGGCATGAAGACAGCTGTCCAAGGAAGTTGGGTCTTCCTTGCCTGCATAGAGCAGGACAATGATGGGCCCACTGGATGGAACTTTGGGCGATGTGCCCTGTGTCCATCTCAGCCGCTGTACCAGACGCTCAGGGATGTTCTCCATCCACGGGAAGATGTCCAATCCCGGTGACGGCTCCGTTGGACTTGTCAGGGGGGTAGCTGAAAGGCGTTGGCCCCCTTCATTCAGCCCCACCGAGCTCTTGTGGAAAACCACCGGGTCCTGCTTGATGATGTTGGGCGCCGGAAGTGGGATCGGCTGCTTCCTGGGAGTGTCCCTTGGCGTTGCGGTGTGCTGCCAGTCATCCGGCACTCGGGCCTTCTGGGTGCGGCCCCCCGTGTCAGGGCCCTCGGCACCTGCGGGGAACCGTCCCGTCCCCGCCATATCAGGGCCCTCGGCACCTGTGGCTCGGGACTGAGGCGCCGCCGTTGTGCCGGTTGTGTGGCTGTTCTGATCACGGCGAGGGCGTTGTGCACGCTGGTTCTGCCGTCCCCATCCTTGTTCCGCCGAGGATGGCCGCCACCTGGCCTGTCCCCCCCCTGTGTCAGGGCCCTCGGCACCTGCAGGAGGGGGCTTCTGTGCCTGCTTGGGGCGTTTGCGCCCCTTCTCGCCCCCCCGGGCCTTATCAGGGCCCTCGGCACCTGAGGCCTCCCGGGGGGTAGGGGTCAGCGCCCCTAGTCAACCCGGGCAGTCCTGCGGGAGGTGGTCCCCCAGGCAGATGCGGCCCATTGCCAGGATGAGGTTGCACTTGTGGGTGCGGCCGCAGTTGCCCGGGCAGCGCCCGCGCATCCAGTTGTTACAGAACTGGTTCCCTTTCGGGTCGGTGGCTGCCTGCTTGTTACCGCCCCGGGACGCCTGATTGTTCAGGTGGGGGGGCTTACCCTTCCCTTTGTTCCCAGGCTTGCCCTTGGACTTCCCCTTGCCCTTGGACTTGTTCTTGCCCTTCTGAGGTGGTGCGTAGTCCATGGATGTCCTGGTTGATGGGCGGCCCCTGGAAAAGGTCTTGATCTTCTCATAGACCTCACGTGTCCAGAACAATGTGTCCTGCCTGACCGACAGCATGGCCGCCTTGAGGGTGTTGCCCTCATGCATCTTCTCGTGAATCTTTCGCCATGCGTTGCGTTTTGCCAGGACGTGGTCCTCTGGCGGGGGAAAACGGCCCCCGATGTCCTCACCATAGAACCACTCGTACCAGCTCTCCAAGTCCTCCCGGGTGATGTCGAACTGGCCGAACTGCGGGAACGAGAGGACGCACATGAGGAGGGTGTTGCGGAACACCGCGTGCATCCTCTCGAGCTGGTGGCGAGTTTTGGGCTCGCCCCGCTCTTCCACCTCATCCTCCCGGTCCCAGCCATCAACCGTGCTCTTCTTAGTG